TACATACTTGGAGGGGTGGATGACATTCAGATGACCTTGGACGACTGCAATGTCAACATCTCAACCATCGCCAGTTCGCACCACGCTAAACCCATCAAGCCGAAAGTAGACGAGTGGGCGAAGCAGCTCGACATCTTCGGCAAGACCCTGGTCGGCTGGCTCTTATTAAACAAAAATTTCATAAAAAATCTTCATTATTGCCACTATGACGATTCTAATTATATCCGTAGCAATACTAATTATCCCACTAGGAAGCTTGGTTGAGCTGTCAACGTAGCTGGATATACTTCGAAAGCATCTTCAGTGCCCCTGACATCCAGCGTCAGCTTCCCGCCGAATCGAAACTCTTTGTAACTGTCGACAGGTCATTCAAGGACATCATGAGGAAGGTCTACAAGGTGCCCCTGGCCATCAGGGCTGGAACCCAACCAGGTTGCTGTTAAGTTTCGTTGTTTGTGTTTTTTTTTTTATCCTATCTGCAGAAGAGCGAGATGGTCTTTGAAAAGCTCTAGATAGGTAGCTCTCATTTGTGACAAGCACCCTGACGAGTATGTTACAAAAAATAAAGAACTCATTTAATTCAAGTTCAAATCATTAAATGTAAAGTTGAAATAGAAACGTTAAATGACGGAATATCAAATTAATGTTAGGGATTGAAGCATAGTTCATAATGGAAAGCTTGAGATCGCCTGTTTAAACACTGACAAACATTTGAACAATGCGCCGGCTAATAATTAGGAATGAACTTTTTTTAAGAATTTTTTAAACGATGTAATATAATTTGTAATTTTTCCTAAATTATATAGGATTAATACAATAAAAATTTGAACATTTGTGTGACACAGATTCAAATGTCGTATTTGAACTTTTTTCCTCCATAAGTACGAATATTATTTTTCCATGTGATTGTAATAGGTATTGTCGTTGCTAATTAATCTGATATGACCTGATGTAACATTATTAAATTTCAATTTTAATTTTTGGAAAATTTCTGCTAATAGCATGAAATATTTGCACTGTGTAGGCTTATTGGAGTCGCTACAGAACAACAACGTCCTACTGGAGCAGATACAAAAGTGCTTGGACGCATATCTCGAATCGAAGAGAGTTGTATTTCCGAGGTAGATACTGTATCCTAGTATCATTTTCATATTTTTTTATTATTGATTTTTAAAAGTATCAATCAAACATTTCAGATTCTGATTTTTTAAGGAATAATAATAAAAAAGTCATTTATTAGACCGAACCACAAATGTACATATGCACATACAAAAGTTTAACACACGCACAGACACACACGCACACACACACACGCACGCACACACACGTATGTGCAAAGATTCTACTTCCTATCGAACGACGAAATGTTAGAGATATTGGCCCAGACGAGAAACCCACAGGCGGTGCAACCTCATCTCAGAAAGTGCTTCGACGCCATCCAAAGTTTAGAATTCGCTGGCGTGTCAGTAGGTTCGAAAATCATTATTATTTTTTATTTTCTCCATTTTATTATTATTAAAAAATTCGAAGTTAATTTTTGTTTTCAAGGTCACTTGCTCCTTAGGCTTCAACAAACGGCAATGACACACACTGCATATGATCTTTTTGCGATCTTTTTGCCACTGCTAAGCAAGAAGCAGCGCCTTTAACCATTACACCACTACGCTATATCTTTACATACTACCTGCAATAATTGTGAATGAATTATATTATATTTAATATTAATTGCAAATTACAAATGAATGGTTAGAAGCACTGGAGAATGTGTCGGTGACGAACGAGATACTGAGCATGGTGTCCCCGGAGGGAGAGAAGGTTGCCTTCGGAAAGGTTACTGCTACAACAACATTTCTAACAACTTTGTAACAACAACAACAACAACGACAATCAATGCAAAAAGTACGGCATCCACACATGCCTGCACACACACACACACACACACACGCACGCACACATAACATATACACGCTACACTTATACACATGCAAACACACAAATACACATGCAAACACACACATACACGTGCAAACACACACACACATACACATGCAAAAACACACACATACACAAGCAAACACACACACACGCACGCACGCACGTACGCAGGGCTTGAAAGCCCGCGGGCATGTTGAAGATTGGTTGGGCAAAGTGGAGGAAGCGATGGTCATAACTATTAGAAAGTTGTTCTCGCAGGCAATTTCACAGTACATGATGCCTAATAAAGAAACATGGATCACCACCAACATATCTCAGGTCTGTTGTTTGTTCTTGACACTCACACACGCACGCACACACTTACGCAAGCACATACAAGCACACACACACACGCACAAGCACACACACACACACACAGGTAGTACTAACAGTCTCGCAGTGCATGATGTGCAAGGATATGACCGACTTGATGGAGAGGAAGGGTGACAAGGTGGGTCCACTGAAGGAGATGGAACTGAGGTCAGAGTTCATGAATAATAATAAGAATAATAATAATAAATAAATAAATAATAATTGTAACAATTATAATAATTCTTCAAGAGCCGTGACGGGCCTAAACAAGTTGGCGAGTTTAGTTCGCGGAAAGTTGGAGCCGCTGGACAGGGCGACCGTCTGCACCCTCATAACCGTTGACGTACATGCCAGAGATATAATTAGTGAGATGGTTAGGAATCGGGTCTTCAAGGCTGACATGTTTGAGTGGAAGAAACAGCTGAGGTTGGCTGGCTGGCTGGTTGGAATGGATTGATTGATGGATGGATGAAGAGATTGATGGATCGCTAGGTAGATGAAGGAATGAATAAATGATTGAACGAATGAACAAACAAACGAACAAACAAACAAACAAAGATACTACTGGGACAAAGACGAGGAGAACATGATAGTGCGAATGTCCAACTCGTCATACTCGTACGGATGCGAATACATCGGCAACTCACCGAGGCTCGTCATCACACCGCTCACTGTATAGCCAGCTTTCTCATCATTCAAATAATTCTTGATTAATTTTAAATAATATTTCATTTTATTATTTCATTTTAATAAACGAAATTATTAGATTTACTGATTTTTCATTAACTAGTTGACAACAACAACTCACTACGAGAAAATAATCACGCATGAATAATGCAAAACAACCATCGCATCCAGGACCGCTGTTACTTATGCCTGATGGGGGCCCTTCAGTTAGACTTAGGGGGTGCCCCGGCAGGCCCTGCAGGAACGGGTAAAACAGAAACGACGAAAGATTTGGCTAAGGGCCTGGCCAAGCAGTGTGTTGTATTCAATTGCTCGGACGGCCTGGACTATTTGGTTTGTATTTGCCATGTCATTGTGGTAGTTTCTTCTCCTTCAAGAAACAAATGATAATATTAATAATAATAAATAACAAAAAAAAAATAAAAAAAAAGATGATGGGTAGATTTTTCGCCGGTCTGGCACAGTCTGGGGCCTGGTGCTGTTTCGATGAATTCAACCGGATCGACATCGAGGTCCTGTCGGTGATCGCCCAGCAGCTCCTCACTATTAGGAACGCCAAACTGGCCAAGGTGCTTCTCTTTCAAACGTTGTCACGGTTATTCAGTATTTGCATTTGGTCATGTTAAGTGTTCGGAGTGTTTAAACTCTTAAATAGTATTTCAATTCTTCTGTATTTAGGAGGTAATTAGATAGTCATTAATTACTTTGGTGTGAATACATACTTCTGTAGAAAGTATTTAGATGCTAGTAGCAAGCAGTATTTGGTTTTTATATAGTATTTAATTACTGAATTTCAACTGAGTGTTTGCTAAGTATTTAGATACTCAACATTTGAGTGTTTCAACGACACTGTTATTGTTATTATTCTCTGAATATTATAATTTTAAGGTTGCGAGGTTCATGTTCGAAGGGCGCGAGATCAAGTTGATTCCGTCATGTGCGGCCTTCGTCACGATGAACCCTGGCTATGCCGGCAGAACCGAGCTCCCGGATAACTTGAAAGCACTCTTCAGACCATTCTCCATGATGGTCCCTGATTATTGTGCGTGGTTTGTCAACTGTCGTTGTTATTTTTTAGCTATTTTTTATTGTTTATTATGTTAAATTGGTTTCTGTTTGTTTGTTGGTTTTGTTTGTTTTAGTTTATTTTGCAATTAGATTTTTAGAGAATTTTCACTCCAATTTTTTTCAGAATATGTGCTCGTTAATTAATTTGAAACGTCGGCGTATCAGGTTTGATAGCAGAGGTGATTCTCTACTCGGAAGGATTCGAATCGTCGAAGAACCTCGCCCAAAAGATGACGCAAATGTACAAGTTGTGTTCAGAGCAGCTCTCCCAGCAAGATCATTACGACTTCGGCATGAGGGCCTTGAAGTCTGTTCTGGTGACGGCTGGCTCGTTGAAGAGGCAGAACCCGGATAAGAATGAGGACGTCGTTCTTATCCGTGCACTCAGAGATTCAAACCTTCCCAAGTTTACGAAGGACGATGCTGTTTTGTTTGAGGTGAGTGAATGAGGGAATGCGTGAGAGAGTGAGTGAATGAATGAATGAATAAATAAATAAATAAAAGAGTGAATGAGTCAGTGAATGAATACATAAACACTCACCCTAATACTTACTTGCAGGCAATTTTGCAAGACCTCTTTCCAGGAGTTGAAATTCCAGAGCATAACTACGGTTTCCTAGAGACTGAAATTCAAAATGTGATGACTCAGAGGGGGCTTCAATGCGTGGCCAGTCAGGAAAAAAAGGTCATTCAGCTGTATGAGACCATGCTGGTCAGGCATGGCGTCATGTTGGTCGGTTCTACTGGTTCTGGAAAGACTACCATCTATAATGTATGTGTCTGTCTGTTTGTCTGTCTGTTTGTCTGTCTGTTTGTCTATGTGTTTTTCTGTGTGTGTTGTGTGTGTGTGTGTGTGTTACAACTAATAATATGATAACCACAACAGTTATTAGCGGACGTGTGCATGAGTTTGAAGGACAGCAACTCCGGTAGCACATCAACATCCGCACCGGTCGATTACTTCTTTCGAAACGTTAAAATGTTTGTCCTCAACCCGAAGTCCATCAACATGGGCGAGTTGTACGGCCAGGTGGATAGGTTGACACTTGAGTGGATGGACGGCTTGATGGGGATCACCATTAGGCAGGCTGTCCAGGTTAGCGGTTGGCCAGTGGATGGAGGGATGAAAATATGGATAAAAAAATGAAAAAAATGGATAGATGATTATATTAAGAAATGAATGAAAGAACCGACAAACGAAAAACTCACTGCAGGATACATCAGACAGCCACCAGTGGGTCATATGCGATGGACCTGTGGATGCATTGTGGATTGAGAACATGAACACGGTCCTAGATGACAACAAGATGCTCTGCCTGGCTAACAGCGAACGAATCAAATTCACTCCACACATACACATGATCTTCGAGGTTCAGGATCTGGCAGTTGCTTCACCGGCTACTGTTAGCAGGTGTGGTTGTGTTTTTTTTAGTGTGGCTTGAAGCTGATTATATGATAGATCAATGAATCAGTCAACTAACTAATAGCAAACCAAACAATTTCTGATCGATCCGTCAATCATTTCATTAACCAACCAATCGACCAACCAATCGACCAACCAACCAATCGACCAACCAACTAATCGACCAACCAACCAATGAACCAACCGACTAACCACTCAATAAACTCTAGATGTGGGATGGTATTCGTAAATTCGAGTGAATTAGGCTGGATGCCCTATGTGAACTCGTGGATGTCGCAGAACTGCAAGCATCCTTTTCCAGCCGAAGCCTACGATTATTTGCACAGCTTGTTTGAGAGGCACGTCGGTGATGGTCTGAAGTTCATTAAGAAGTACTGCCATGAAATTATACCGCAGGTTGGTTGATGGCCGAGTTGTGGTTGTGGTCCTTGCTGGGCTGATGGCCGAGTTGTGCTGTTCGTCTTGCAGATTTTGTTGCTGTCAATAAATCCTGGCTGAACTAACTAATCACAAACTTATTTTTCCTACGCACACACGTACACAAACAAACAAACACAAACAAACACACACAAACACACAAATAGGTAGACATAAGCAAAATTACAACAATGTGCAAACAAACACAAACAAACACACAAATAGGTAGACATAAGCAAAATTACAACAATGTGCAAACAAACACAAACAAACACACAAATAGGTAGACATAAGCAAAATTACAACAATGTGCAAACAAACACAAACAAACACACACAAACACACAAATAGGTAGACATAAGCAAAATTACAACAATGTGCAAACAAACACACACAAACACACAAATAGGTAGACATAAGCAAAATTACAACAATGTGCAAACTATTCGAGACTTTGATGCTGAAGAACAAGGATGTAGATTACAGAATCGACCTATCGAAGTTACTGAATCTGGTTAGTGGAACTTTCGTCTGGTGTTATCTTTGGGCTGTTGGCGGGAACATTTCTGAGAACGATTGGGACTCGTTCGATTCCTTCATCCGGTCCCAGTTTGACGAGGACACTAACTCCAAGGTTCCTCTGTTGTGGGTTTCGTTGTTTTTCAATTAATTTTATATTACTATCACTAATGTCAAAGCAGTTCAAGGATTTCTAATATCATAGTTACTATTGCTTCTGTTAGCGTATCTTATTACTCAAAGTTACTCTTGCATTCGATCACGGCAACTGCAGCGTAGGATAGGACCTATCAAACCAACCAACGTTATTATTATTGTTACTAAATTGATGAACGAACGAACGAACGAACGAACGAACCATCTTACGAACAGCTGCCTGTATCAGGAGATCTCTGGAGTCAGAGGATTGATTTTGTCCTACGACGAATGGAGCTCTGGGATAAAGTAGGGCGCTACATAAATGACACTAAATAATAATAATAATCATAATTATGTTCATAACCGTAATAATTAATTATTATGAAAAGGTGGTCCCGCTCTTCAAGTACAGCAAAGAAGTTCCATTTTTTGAGATTCTTGTGCCAACGGTGGACACAGTGCGGTTCTCGTACCTGCTGGACAAGTTGGTGTCCGCTAATCAGTGCGTCCTCTTCACCGGACAGACTGGAGTTGGGAAGGTGATTAGTTTTTTGAAGATTTTTTATTATTAACGTGTGTGTATGGGTCTGCGAGTTAGCTCAGTCGGCAGAAGTGCCATGTCTTGTGTTGTTCTTGCGCGATGACTTGGTTCGACTGCTCTCTGTGCTTTTGTTGCTCACAAGTTCAACATTGATTGTGGACTGATTGATAAGTAAGCAGTTCTGCTTGCACTTAGTTTTCTTCAAGATAAATAATGATCGTGAAAAATTAGTGAACAAAATAAATACTCATATATACTTCATATATATAATATACTTGATATATAAATTTTAAGTGAATGGATATGAATGAATGAATGAATATGAATGAATGAATGAATGAATGAACTAACAATTCATGAAACGAACAGTCAGTAGTGGCACGCGGTGGTCTGTTAAGCATGTCTCAGCACAAAAAGTACTCCAGCATCTTCTTCAACTTCTCCGCCCAGACGACCAGTGCCAGGTTGCAGGAAATGCTGGAAAGCAAGATGGAGAAAAAGAGGAAGAACATTCTTGGTTTGTCTGCTTGCATCTCTTTCGAAACGAAACAAATTTTTACTTTGCAAAGAAAATTCTGAGAACTAAATGTCAATCATAGGACTGACTAGAGTAAAATTTCTAAAATTTATCGAATCTGGTCGCCCATTCATTTAGATTAGTCATTTTTTTACTCTTTTTTTTACATTGTTTGGTTATTTTTTGTTTTCTAAGTCTTTCCATATTTATAGAATTCTAACAACTTATATAGAATCAATTTTAATTTGTATTTTCCTGGGTGGGCCTCTCTTTCACTCACTCGTCCATTCACCACCACCAGGAGCGCCAAACGACCGCAGGATGATATTGATGGTGGACGACCTGAACATGCCCAAGTACGACACCTACGGCTCGCAGCCTCCCATCGAGTTGTTGCGGCAGATGATTGACTGTGGCGGCTTCTACGATAGGCAGAAGTTGTTCTGGAAGGAGCTGCAGGTTGGCACGGTGACGAGTGGTTGTTGCGGTTGTTGCGGTCGTTGTGGTCGTTGTCGCATCACCTCATCATCATCATCGTCGTCGTCGTCATGACGACACCAGGACCTAACGATATGTGCGGCGTGCGGTCCTCCAGGCGGCGGTAGAAACAACGTGACGCCACGTCTGCTCAGACACTTCAGCATTTTGGCGCTACCCTGTCCGTCTGAACATTGCCTCAAAACTTTATTTACCGTACGTTTGTCTGTCTGTCTGTTTCTCCGGGGTTTGTTTGTTTGTGCTGTGTGTGTGTGTGTGTGTGTTTGAGAGAGAGAGAGAGAGAGAGAGAGAGAGAGAGAGAGAGAGAGAGAGAGAGAGGACGGGGAGAGAGAAAAAGAGTTTGTGTTTGAGCAAATAATCTGTTGGACCCTTAACTCATGCTTCATTAAATTAGGAAACCATTTGACCTCCTCGCGTTAGTTGGTTCAGTTCATGTTGGAGTTGAACGTGAGAAGCACGTTTTATAAGACCGCATGGAACAATGTGTTGAATCGATTGATTTTTTTTCATTATAAGGCGATATTAGGTGGATTTTTCATGGAGTATCCTTTGAAGATCCGTCAGTGTATTGAGCCCGTCGTCAAATCTGCCATCGATATTTATGAACAAATAAGCACCACATTCCTGCCGACTCCCGCCAAGACTCATTACATCTTCAACCTCAGGGACCTCTCCAAGTGCATGCAAGGTTCGTCTCAGCCATTCGTTCAGTAGGCAACTGGTTGATTGATTGATTGGTTGGTTGGTTGGATGTTTGACTGATGGTTCATTGACTGGTCGGTCAGTCGGTTCATCGGTTGGTTGCTTGAGAATGTTCTGTTGTCATTTTAACTGTTTTTAAGTTTTATTTTTTCTTCGTTACATACATAAAAATTAGTTGTGATGTGATTAGCATTGAGTTTTATCGTTTGTATAACACACACACACACTCTCACGCACACACACTCACATACACGCACTCACATACACGCACGCACACACGCACGCACACACACATACACACACACACACGTTTAGGTATGATGCAGGCAGATTTCAACGTGATGCGTGAGGCCAAGCAGTTCTACCGCCTGTTCTACCACGAGGCTCTGAGGGTTTTTCACGACAGATTAGTAGACGACACCGACAAGAGAACCTTCTACCATCTCCTCTCCGACGTCACATCTCGATTGTTTACTGAGGTTTGTGTGTGTGTTTGTGTGTGTGTGTGTTTGTGTGTGTGTTTGTATGTGTGTTTGTGTGTGTGTTTGTATTTGTTTTCTATACCTTGCTTTGTATGCATTGTATTCAAATAGGAGACGATGACAGAGCAGGATTTTGAGACGCAGTCGATAATATTTGGAGATTTCATTAAGATCGGCCTACCCAAGGAGGAGAGAGTTTACGATGATCTCACAAATAATGACAAAATTAAATCTGTTTTGAAGGATGTGAGTTTTTTTTCTGTGTGTGTGTGTGAGTATGTGTGTGAGTGTGTATGTTAGTTTGTCTGTGTGTTAGTCTGTGTGG